ATATATATATATATATATATATACATACATATATATATATATTAAGACAACCTTAATACTTTCAATCAGGTTTTGTTGTTGCTGTTTTTGTTTTTAACTATTTCTCCTCTTGTTTTGTTTTTTATTCAGCAGTGGATGGTTTGCTCAGAAGATCAGTTTTCTGTTTTTGGGAACATTTGACTTTTCCTTCTCTTATTTTCTGATGCACCAAGAAGAAGAGTGAGAGGCAGACAGTAGGAGGAGGAAGAGGAGGAGGAAGAGGAGGAGGAGGGACAGAGATCCCCATGGGGAGGGGGTCGGTACTTCAGTCGCTCAGAGGAGCAAACGGAGGCGGACAGAAGAAGTAAAGTCAGGTAGAGGAGAACACCTGCCGGGACAGAGAAGCTCAGAGGAAGAGGAGGAAGGAGAGGCTGACTGAGGCTGTCCTCTCCTTCTTCATGTCTGCTGCTGGAAGCTCTTAGATGTTGAACTTGATGGGTGTTTCTAACGCCTCCAACCCCAATGTCTCCTGCAGCTGCAACTGCCAGCCCTACCCGTCCATCCAGAACATGGAGATCAGTGAGTAAAGCTAACCCATTCATTCCCACAGGGGCTCCGCTCACTTTATCCGCCACTTCCTGACAACTTTCAGCTGTTCTCAGCAGGAAGCAGCTGGTCCACAAGAACCGGACCGAGAGCAGAACCGTTCATGTCATTTTCTCTTTTGCTTTTTCTGCTTTCAAACTGGAAATGTCGCTTTGAGGAGACTGGAAGGCAGAAGGAGAGGAGGGCTTTTCCCTTGGGGGGTGGGGGGGAGGCTTCGTCATGCCGCTGAAGCCAGACTGCTGTCTAGCCGTCTGGCTGCGCGTGCGCGCTGGTAACACGCGTTTGGCTGTCCGGGAAATCCGCGCGCGCGCGCGTGTTTGTGTGTGTTTCTAACATTATGGGGACCAGCGCCTTCCAGTGGTCTCCATGGCTACAAGTCCTGGGAAAGGGTTTGGGATGGGGTCCATGCTGTTTTGAGCCTCCTCTGCTGGCTCTGGGTCCGGCTCTGGGTTCGGTTCTGGGTTCGGTTCTGGTTCTTCTGGGTCTGTTGTGATGAACCGGTCTGACTGAGGTCACCAACAGTTCATTTCATTTCAGACACATTTCAGATGTTTCTCTGAATAATGATGTCATCATCATTTTTTCTCTTTTAGTGTTTATTTGTTTGTTTGTTTTTTAAATTCAGATGATGGATCTCAAAA